TAATTTATTTATTTTTTACAATTATTCAAAGTAATTTTTCAATTAATCTTGAGCACGCCCATGGAGTGGTCGAAGGTACCAGTTAAAATTATGCTAATTACTCTCTCGTTCATAAAAATAAACTATAATAGCAGAAAATATTACAGATCTACAAAAATTTTTAGATAAGGTTGTTGCAGCGAGTGAAGAATTTGATCTGTCACTAAACATACAGAAAACAAAATGTATGCTTATATCAAAGAAAAATATTAGATACATCAATCTACACGTAAACAATAAGACGATAAACCGAGTTTAAAATTATACCTATTTAGGGTACCAAAGAAATTAGAGTTAGAATAGAATAGACTAAAAGTGCATTCAATAATATGCAACAAATATTATGTTGTAGAGACCTCAACAACAGAAAAAGAATATCCTGGCTTGCTAACCTGAGAGCATGGTATAGAAAGACCTCAACACAGCTATTTCGTATAGGAACCAACAAAATCATCATAGCCAGAATGATCGCCAACGTTCGGAACGGACAGGCACCCTAAGAAGAAGAAGAAGAAGAGACCTCAGCCTAAATCTTAGAAAACGAGTACTGTTATGTATTTCCTGTTCTTTTGTATGTTGTGGAGACATGGACTTTAAATAAAGAATGTGTCACTAAATTGGAAGCATTTGAAATGTGGACATATCGAAGAATACTGAGAATCTCAGTCAGGTCAGCAGATGTGCAGGTAAACCAAGCTCTCAAATTATTCAACCAGGACATGCGTCTTCTTCCGCGACTTCTTCTACCCTGTATTCTTCTTTGCATTATTAATTGCAACAAGTTATAACGCTCGCCCCTCATAATATGTCGCAGTTATTGCAGTTTTCTAACTTAAACTGTATTTAAGACCTCTTTATCTTTTTCCATTCTTCTTAACAACTCGACATTCGTGACTCTATCTATAAATTGGGCCGAAAGGGCATTAAAAATAGATGGAGTACACATATCTTAACCATTTGCGTTTCCCAGACGACATAGTACTAATAAGCACAGATATCCATGAACTGAAATCAATGCTACAAGATTTAAATCACAAATCGAATCAAATAGGATAAAAAATGAATCTCGACAAAACAAACATATTAAGCAACAACCTAGAAAACATCACGATAGATAATATCAATATAGAAAAGGTAGAATAATATGTATAGCTAGGACATGCAATTAAAAACGAAAAGGAAAATCAAATTTTAGAAATTAAAAGAAGGATACAATTGTCATGGGCTGCTTTTGGTAAGTTGAGCTTCATTTTAAAAGACAGGAAAATCCCAATACACTTAAAACCAAAAACCTGTGACAATTGTATACTACCAGTTGCAACTTATGGATTGGAAACTATGCCAATAACGAGAAAAGCGGCAGAGCAATTAAGAGTAACTCAACGGGCCATGGAGAGAGCTATGTTAAATACAAGTCTCAGAGACAAAATTTCTAACACCGAAATACGTCGAAGAACTAAAGTAACCGACATCATGGGAAAAATAGCGACATTGAGATGGCAATGGGTAGCACATGTAGCAAGACAAGACACCAACAGATAGTCTCATAAAGTGACATTCTGGAGAACTTGAAAAACAAAAAGAAGCGTAGAAGACCCAACAAGGGATGGATAGACGATATAACAGCTGTAGCTGGAAAGCAGTGGATGGGAATTGCAAAAGATAGGGAAGCGTGGAAACAATTGGAGGATGCCTATGTTCAACAATGGATAAATAAAGGCTGAAGATGAAGATACGCTATGTATGTGACATGACGTCTTTCAATAACTGGATGATAATAAAGGTATAATATAGAGTTTATTAACATAGTATTTACATTAGCTAAATACAAAATTACCATATTATTATTATTATATTAATCATGTTTCACTAATTGACATATTTAAATTCTTTGACACAGCTCATGTTGATTGAGACTGGCTGAATGGCAATTGTCCAAGAAAAGAGAAAAAAAGAGAATATCAGAAAATTAACCGGGATACGAAAACGAGTAAAACTGTGCAGAATAGCTTAAGACTTAGAGCCTTGCCATGCTAATCGTCAGCTTCAAGGAAAGCTGTAAAGCTACATTAAAAAGAAGAAAGGGTGCTTGTGTTAAAAATAGAAAATTCATCGAAAATCACTACAATATTATATATTAACACGTTCACGCCGCTACCAGATACATGAGTCTGGTATGAACTTTACGTTTAACCGACACTGAAATTTGAAGACCTTGCGCTAGCGCCGACAACGATAAAATGGCTATTTATGTACTAAATATTATGATATAGGTACCTACGAAATCGTCGTGATGTGCTTTATATTTTAGTTATATTTTAAGTTTTAGCATTTTAAGATTTTAAGATGCCAGCACCTGGTAACGTGCCACAAAGAAATTTTTTAGGCTATGGGATTTACCGGAACTCCGTATCTGGTTATTAGTGTTATAGTAAACATTGTACAAGTGTGTTGTTTTTTATTAAAATCCGTAAAAATGTCGTCTAGAGGCGAAGAACAAGCAGCAAAATGCTTGGATACAAACTGAAAGTGAATCTGATAGCGATCCATTTGTAAACTTGTTTGATGGAGATCCTGAATACACTCCTCGTGAAGATAGCAGCAGTTCTGATGGGGACGAATCCATATATTTGAACGAAGAAGTATTCAGTGATATAGAAACTGGATAATTATGAAACGGAAAAAGAAATTGGTAAGAAGAAAAATGAAATCTTATAAATTGATTCTCATTATCTTTATTTTTAGGTGATGGTGAGGAAGATGTATGGACTGACATTCAGGAAATAGATAAATTAGATTTTGATGAATATCTTACAGATTCTAAAATAATTCAATGTGAAAATATGAGCCCATTGGATATGTTTTGTCTATTTGTGACAGATGAAATTTTGGAATTAATTGTTCACGAAACCAATAGATATGCAGAACAAGAAATTGAGTACACAGTATCAAGCAAAAATCTAGCAGTAAGTGGTTTCCGACTAATAAAGAAGAAATTAAAAAAATCTTTAGTATCGTGATCTCCATGGGATTCGGGAAGGTCCCTAATATTCGATTATATTGGTCCAAAAATGACCTTTATAATAATAAGTTTATCTCCTCAGTTATGACTAGAGATACATTTTTATTAATTGACTCCATGACTCCAGGAAGGAATGTAATCTTAAACGAAAGTATGGTACCATGGCATGGTCGTTTCAGTATGCAGCAATATATAAAAAACAAACGCCATAAATATGGCGTTAAATTATATAAACTATGTACCGTCATGTCAGTGGATATACCTATAAAGTAATGGTTTACTGTGGAAAAGAAAACAATATGATAAACAAAAGCCATTCTCAGAAAGTTGTGCTGACCTTAATAAATAGCTTGTTAGATGCCCGACGAACTTTATATGCTGATAACTTTTTTTCGGGCATTCCTCTTGCAAAAGATCTATTGGATCGCCAAACTTTTTATTGTGGGACTCTTAGAAGCAATCGTAAAGGTATTCTAAAGGGAATAGTTACAAAGAAACTAAAGAAAAATGAAATAATTGGCATCAAAAATAAGGACAAAATAAAGGTAATCCGTAAGCAAGACAAGAGATCGGTATTAATGTTATCCACTAAACCTGAGCATACCCTAAACTTCTGTAATAAGGACAAGAAAAAGAGATCAAAACCAAGGGAGCAAGTTATCCAAGACTACAATAAAGCTAAAACTTACAGTGACCAAATGGCAGCTTATTATTCTTCCTTACGAAAAGGTCTTAAGTGGTATCGTAAGGTCGACTTCGAACTAATCTTTGGTGCTGCAATAATCAACAGCTGGATTATCTATAATAAAAAAAAAACATCGAAAAAAAGATACCAATACGAACATTTTGTGAACAGTTGGCATTACAACTTTCAAATCAAAATGAGTGTATTTCTGAAACCAACTTATCAAAACGGAAACATTGTCTGCAATGAGAAGAAGGTCCTGGTAGAAAACGTAGACGAAATTGTGTTGATTTTTACAAGAAGTTGAGAAGACTATGAAAAGTAAGGAAGCTGACAAGAAGGTGACCAAAGTAAACACTTTTTGTGAAAATTGCGAAAATAAACCGGCTTTGTGCCTAACTTGTTTTAATCATAGACATATCTAATTATTAATTATTACTATTTTAATTATTATATATTTTTGTACACTTTAGTATTACTTCAAATAGAAATTGATCATTTTATTTATTTTTTAAAAGTCAAATATTCAAAATTGCCGCATCAGTATCAATATATTTTCTATATACCGTAAGTACTTTACCGGACATCGGAATCTGGTGCTGTGGCTGCCAAAAATGGATTAAAATGTTTACTATAACATGGCAGTGTTAGATTTAAGGTATTTTAAATACAAAGTCACAGAAACCGTTTATAGATATGTTTACCAAACCTATAGGTCTGGTATCGTCCAAACAGTATACAGTGTTACCAGATATGGGGATCTGGTAACGTCAGTGTTACTGACAAATTTAATGCCGTCGTGAACGTATTAATACACAGTTAATGTTATGTTTAGCAATTTTAATTATAACACTGAAAAGTAATGTTGATAAAATTCAACTTAACAAAGCTCTGTAAGTGAGTTTATTAAAAACTAACGTGAAAGTATAAAAAACATTTTTTACAGTGTTGAATGCTTCTACTGTTTTATTTTTATAGTAATACATATACGATTACGGCAAGTTCATTCCGTATTTTATTACAATCCGAATAGATATCTTTCGATAATAACGAATCCAATTCTTTTTAAATTACAAATGGATTCAATACCAGATAAAATAGCTATCCGCTTTCAGACAATTTAAGAAGCAAACGATGATACTCTCAAGCCCCGACATCTCAGCATTCTCTATTTTGCATACATAATTACGTCTGCTTCACTCCAAATCAAACAGAATTCATTAACTCAAAAATAGATCCGAGAGAGAACTCTCATTATGTAAAATTGTTCCTACCTTTGCATTCGTTGGCGTCTCTTGTAGTAGCTCTGCCCCAGGGTCGATCAAAATGAAAAGGCTTACATCGTTCACAGTCTCTACCCGCCGTGTTATGTTTACATTCACAAGCCAATTGTCCATCACGACCCGCAATACATCGACTTGCATGCCCATTACACTTACATCTACCACCAACTGCAAAATCTGACACCGCGTATTGATGAGTCACTTGATGATAACCGGTTACGATTATATTAGTTCCTAAATCCGGAGTCACAGCTGATTTGGGGTTGTTTGTTTCTTCGTTATCCACTGCTTGCATCTCGTTGACTAACTGCACAGAGGGTTCTTTAATTTCCTGGTGTTCCTCTAGATGTTTTATGCAGCATGCGTTCATCAACTAAGATATCCAATGTGTCCGAAGAATCTTCAATTGGCATGTGAAGACGATTAAAAACTACTTTAATATCAGTAGCAGTTACCCAATCTTGTAAAACTGGACTGTTGTCAAAATCTGTTGCGCTGGGTCTACCTTCTAAAGTACTAAACGCAATTCTAGAAGTTTGACCGAAATTTCCCATATCACCACCTGTATAACGATGAGCATCCGTGCATCTAGCTTCCTGTTCGTTAGTTTTTGTAATCGTAGCTCTATTGGGTCTACCATATACTCTTCTGCACTGCGAAGAATAAAACTGAAAAGGTTGCCAGGTCTTACCATAGTCCATACTTTTATATATAGCAATTGAGTCTGGTTTCGGAGTATTCGGACAAAACTGAAGACTGACATAAGTTAATTCGTACTTCTTCCCAAGACTCAAAGTTAATGTAACATTATCTGGAGGTGCGTTGATGGAAGTAACAGGTGGTATAGGCTCTGATCTCCAGCAAGTAACATTCTGTGGATTGTTGAGGTCCGTAAGATACGTCGCCGGGAATCTTGTTTTTGCTTGCCGATCGTCGCACAAATGACATTGAGGGTTAGCACCGGGCTCTGGAGCTTCACAATAATGCACTGGGATATGAAGTCCGCAAGTCGAAGAAGCTTTCACTGGAACTCCGAAAGCGGCATTAACAAAATCTGGAATGCATCGACGAGGCCGGTCTTCATCGTAACACGGGTCAACGGGAGTCTGCTGACCTTCGAACATCTTTAAGAAATTCTCGTTAACGGACGACACCGACGAAGCGTGCAAAAACATCATGAAGAGTATCATTACTCTTAGCGTTAGCCCCATGTTTCGATTTAATCGAGTATCATCATCCGCCACCAAGAATTTAACACGACTAATAAAACGCCGAGATAGATACGTAATTCGGAGCGAGAGAGAGACCGAGAGGCTGCACAGTCGCTTTCAACGGTCGTGGTATAACTGGCGATCCGGTGTCTGTTAAAAGTCTGTAGCACCTTCCCCCGGAATGATGGGGCGCATACCGAACTCCTAAGTGCCAGAAGAGCTGCTGGTAATTGATGATAAAGTTGATTATGGCGAATTAATACGTCGACGAAGATTATCGTAAAGAGCAATCGATCAGGAGAACTGTCCTCGATTAGGATCGATATGTCTTATGAATATTTATATGCAATTGTATCAGTTGAAGTGCTATTTTTATTCCTATATTTCTGTTTAAAGTAATAATGATTCTATTTTTATTATTACATAAATACGTCTGTTGATTTATAATACACTACAATAAACTATTTTTTTTTATTTATTGTAGAACATTCCTAAATAAATTAGTATTCTAATAAATATTTTTTATTTTCATTCAAATACAAAAAAAATTAATATTTATTTGTAATATAAATTCTAGAAATAATAATATGTTAATAACAATTATTAGTATTAAAATATCACAAATTTTATTATACAGAGTGAAATTTACGTATGGGACACCTCAATTATCTCGTAAAAGGTTTTAACAATTTATCTAAATTTTGGTTTGCGACGGTTTTGTAATATGACAGGACTTTTGGTAGTTTTACATGGTTGTCAGATTTTTCATTTCTCCGGAAGTGTAATAAACGTTGTTGTTTCAAATATATTTTGGATATTTTATTCTTTTTAAAATCCTGAAAATTAAACATGTAATACTCATATTTCCTATACCTACATTTCGGAGTTATAGCTAAATTTATATTATATCCGCCAAAGTTAAAATAATACAATAATATTTCTTCTTCTTTTGGTGCCTATTATTTATTAATTATTTTATTAACTGATACTTTAAATATTAGATTAGTTGTTTACTTGTAGTCCAATTCTTTTAGGTTTTTTAACCACGATATTCTTCTTCTACCAATTCCTCGCTTTCCGAGTACTTTGCCTAGAAAGATTATTTTCAGTAATTTGTATTTAGTGCCGTTCCTTATTATGTGTCCGAGATATTCTAATTTTCTCCTTTTAATCGTATACATAACTTCTCTTTCTTTCTCCATTATTCGTAGTACAGTCTCGTTGGTTATCTTGTCTGTACATGATATCCTTAGGATTCTTCTGTATAGCCACATCTCGAAGGCTTCAAGCTTTTTCTCCATCGTTTCAGTGAGTGTCAAGGATTCAACTCCGTAGTATAACATCGAGAAGATATAACATCGTAGGAGCCTTACTTTTATCTCCTGATTAAGATTGTGTCTTTTAAAGAGTTTGGCTATATTGTTGAATGCACTCTTAGCCTTCTTTATTCTGCATTTTACTTCTTATCAGTGATCCCATTGTTCGTTTACTATTATTCCAAGATAGGTAAACTGTTTTACTCGGTCCACTGGTGTATTTCTGATAAGCAGTTGGACGTCTTTAATTTTATTTTTGCTGATGACCTTAAATTTAGTTTTTGATATGTTTACTTGTAGTCCAATTCTTTTACTTACTTCATTCATTAGTTGCTGTAAACTGTTGCCTGTCTGCAAAAATAACGGTGTCATCTGCATAGAGGATGTTGTTTAGGCGTTCTCCATTTAAAAGTATTCCATGTTCGCAAATTTCAAAGGCTTCACTAAATATTTCCTTTGAATATAGGTTGAATCTTCTTCTTCTTCTTACGGTGCCTATCCGTTCCGGATGTTGGCGATCAACATGGCTATCCTAACTTTGCTTGTGTAATACTAGCGGAGTTAAGACTGCTGTAACCCCTGTAACATCCTTGGTTTAAACTTTAAAGGATGTTTATCTCTGCGAGCGGAGGCAAGGCTTTCTGGCTCAACTAATCTGAATGGACGTGGTTTCTCCCTCGTGGATTTACAAGAGGGTAGGAAAAACAGGATAGGGGCTGAAGGATACTCCTATGCAAGCCCTGTAAGGAGTCAGAGGTTATTGGCTTACTTTAGAAGTCGGAGAAATTCATAATCGGAAATTGTGTACTCTTCTAGTCTCTGCCTGTAACGACCGGAAGGAACAATAAAACCAAATTTGGAGTCTACAAATGTATTAAATATACTGTATACTACAAGTTAACAAGCTGTCAGTTATAACCAATAAAGATTCGTTCAGGCGCGAAGGGAGGCCAAAAGAGACCTTAGCAAGAAATTAAAGGGTCGACAATCTACGTTTTTATATATTCCTTGGGTTAGTATATAGATTTAGTTACCTTTGCGTGCTATGTCAATAGCAGTGACCTGCTATTCTGATTAGTCCGGTTGTCGATGTATTAAACCAGTTTCTCATAGGTTGAATAATATAGGTGAAAGTGTACATTATTGTCTAACGCCTAGCAAAATCTGGATCGCTTCCGTCGATTCATCTCCAAGTTTTGTTTTTATTGTGATTGATTGGTTCCAGTATTTGTATTATATTTCGGTCTTTATCATTTATTTTGCTTTTGTTAGAACATTCATCATTTTTCGGTGTTGAACTGTGTCAACTGTTTTTAATAGTCCGCAAAGCAGGTGTATATATCGAAAGTCATATCTACATACCTCTAGACTAAACAGTGCATCTCTCGTACCTACCATTTCCTTGAATCCAAACTGTGTGTCTTGTATTCTCTCTTCGCATAGTTTGTATTTTCTGCGATGTATAATTTTAAGAAAAAGTTTTAGTGTATCGCTCATTAGACTTATTAGCCTATAATCTCTGCACTTTTTAGCTCCCTGTTTCTTTGTTAACGTAATACATTCTGAAACTAGCCAATCTTTTGGAATATTTCCTGTGTCATAGATATTATTGAAGATTTTACATAGTATTCTTACATATTCTTCATCAAGAAGTTTAAAAAATTCAGACTGTACTCCGTCTCGTCCTGGAGCTCTCCCTTCTTTTGGTGATATTATGGCTGCTCTTATTTCTACCACTAGTATCGATGGTCCTGTTTCCATAGGTATTGGGGACTAGTTCTCTCTCTCGTCAAAAAATAAATTTCGTATGTAATTTTTCCAGGTATTATCAATACTCTCTTTGTGCACGATTACCTCTTCGTTGTCATTAACAAGTTTACTTTTTCTTTTGTTTTTACATTTACATGTAATTTTTCTTACCTTTTTATGTACGTTGAATTCGTCGTAAGTTCTTTGTAGAATTTCGATTTCTTGGCATTTTTTCTCCAGTTCTTTCTGTTTGGTTTCTCTGATCTTTCTCTGTATATATCGTTGTAATGTTTTATATATAAAATTCTATCTGCTCTTCGGTACTTTCCGTTGTATTATCGATTTCTTTGAATTTTCTATTTATTGTTTGGCTAACTATTTCTTTTACTTCACTACATTCCAGTTTTCTCATGTCACGTTTTTTTACAGTTACAAATATTTAATGGTTGTCCAAAAATGGCACAGTCCACAGAACATCTTGTTTTTATTACCGACTGTCCTGGCTTATCCATTTTAAAAAATCTTTAGTTTATAAATAATAATAACAGCAAAGTAGTGCACCGCACCAACCAAGCGAAAATTACACTCACGAACTGTGTGGCACAGATGCTAGACGCTTACCCATAAGGGAATCGGGCAGTCTTGAGCCCTTGTTTCAAGGAATTTTAACGATTATTACTCAAATGATTTTAGCCAAGTATCAACGACATTGCACCATTGCATCTCGGAGTGTCTCGGACCAATGATATTAGAATATCAGGATGTATACGATACGCGTGGTTGCCGATTTTGTTTCATTGGTACTATGCGTTGCAAGATAATTCGGATGGAATTCCCCAGATTAAGAGACTAGGCCGATATCAAGCACAAAATAGTCTGGGTAATTCCATTCCAATTGTCTTGCAACGGATAGTATTATGAATTTTTGAAGAGCAGATATTAGTAGAAATAGACGTTTTGCGGTAATTTTCAATGGGGTTGGGGACACTTAATAAACAAATCAAATTTTAAATATCGTTTAAATGTGTAATTTAAAAAAAAATATGCTAAAAAATTACACTAGCAACTTTTTCACACTATTATTATAGATACAACATTTCCAACTTTTATTTTTTCGATGCGCCCTAATGTCCTGTCTGACTGTCTTTCACAACATCTTTTTGAGTGTTTCTCTCTTCCTTCTTCCTGGAACCTGAATTTCAGCGACTTTTCGAATTGGGTGATTCTCATTATGATGTGAAACATGCCCTTACCATCTCAATCTATGCTCTCTCATTTTTGCACTGATAGCTGTCACGACTAAATTTCCCCTAATATATTCATTTTTGGTTCTATTCTTTCTTGTTACTCTACTCTTCTTCTTTTTCTTCTTTCTTTTTAATTGCCCAGCATTCAGTGTCATACATCATAGCTGGTCTTATTACCGTTTTGTAAAATTTACCTTTTAATTTGATAGGAATTTTTCTGTTACAAAATACATCACTCGCCTCTTTCTACTTTATCCAGCCAGCTCTTACTCTACTACAGGCACCTCCATCTATCTCCCCGTTGCTCTGCAGTCCTCCCTCCTCAATCCTTTAGCCCTTGTCAGGGCGTAGTGACACCCTAAATATTATTAGTCTGCTGTCTCCATTGACTGCGATCTTGTGCCATATGGACGGCTTCATGTAGGGATTTTCCCACCAAACTCTTCATTTGGTCCACCCATCGTATTGGAGATCTTCCACTACCAATAGTTCCATGGTGCCCGTTCTTCTAGCTATGTGGCCGAAGTAAGTTAGGTATGCTTGGTTTACTTTTTTTAGTAGCCTGTCTTTTATATGAAGCTCTTCCAGAATTGACAGGTTGGTTCTATGTTCTGTCCAGGACACGCGTAGAATTCTTCTATATACCCACATTTCGAAGGCTTCGATCTTACTCCTATCGATTTTTTTG